TTTAGTAGCTTTTTGTAAATACTATATACATACAATGACAGCCATGTGGAGAATGAATCTGAAGAACAATGATTTGTTTTGCTTTCATGTCAAATATAATAAATATGCATCGTAAATTCATGTAAATGTATAAACTGAATATGAGAGTATATACTGAATGTGAAAATATACCAAACTGAAGTTGCTGAAAATGCTTTGTTAGCAGCAGTTAAAAATGAATTGAGGTTATGATTTAGAAAGGTATTTAAGCATGTGTTTAACTTAAAGGACATGATTAGTTCCATTGATTATTATAGAGCTACTTATATACTTAAAGTTATGTCTGTTACATAGCTTGTTAAGCTGGATCCTCAACATTAAAAATAAATGTAACAATCCTAGCTGTTTATAAGTTTGCAAGATATTTGAGACTATTCAAACACACACAAACACACATACACACACACACTCAACGTGCAGTCATTACATTTAAATCTAAGTCAGGGGTGGGTAAAATATGGCCCACAGGCCAAATCTGGCCTGCCGACTGGTTGAATCTGGCCCACAGGCAGGTGCCCAACACTTGATTGTATCTAGCGTGGGGCAGCCCTCACCATGCTCCCACCTGTGCCTGGCCCTGGCCCTGGCCATAGTCACAGCCACAGCTAGGGCACCCAGCTTCTCAGTGGGACTACTGCTGCTGCTCCCTGGGTACTGCTCAGCTCCCCTTGCCTACAGCATCTCCTCCAGCTCCCGCTACACTGCTCCACACAGCAGGTAGTATCCGGAAGAGACAGTGGCCATGGTGACATGCACCAGGCACCACTGCTCAGCCAGGCAGAGGGGAAGCTGCAGCCAAGTGGCTCCTGCCCCAGCACACAATATACAAGAGTAAGACTTTATTTTGAGCTATTATGCAATCACCTCTATATATACCACTAAAAAACCCCCATAAAAATGGACAAAAAGTATTTGAAATAAATTTAAAATGTTATAGTAGATGTTTGATTTTTAGTATATGAATTTTTTTTAATCTTTAATTTGTTAAAATTATATCTTCTGAAAGATTTTGTGTCTGGCCCACCATGACTTGTTAAGTGGCCCTTCGGCCAAAATAGTTGCCCACCCCTGATCTAAGTGCTCATCTGTGCAGATGTTTGGGGAGATTAAGCTGGGCAAAAAATTGCCAGTCTGATCTAAATTAGTTCACCAAGGTGGTGAACTAAATTAGACTGGGGATGGGTTAGCTCAATCTAGCAAACTTCTATACAGTGTCAAAGCACAGCCTTGATGCTGGGAACACCCAACTGCCTGTTGCAGCCCCAGGGCCACATTCTTCCTACCCATCTGACAGGTATTTTTATATTTAAAGCCCCTCCCACTCCCCCAGCTCCCCACCCAAGGTGGGCAACCCCCCATGTGGACCCACCAATCCCTCTTGCAGACCTTCAACCCACCAAATTCTCCCATGGACCTGTTAGCCCCTCTGAACCCACCCACTCCTCTTCCCACCTTGACTTAGATAGACTGGGTTCCCAGCATGGTTCCCAGAACTGGCAATCATGCACACAAGTCACTTCCAACCTATGATCATGTAGCTTAAAGTGATCAGGTATAGCAAACACCTGCACATTCCCCCAGTATATAAATGAAGACAGCAGGGGGATGGGGGGGAGATGACACATAAATGCTTCTATTATGTATTATAACATAAAATAAAACTAGACAAGGTTATAAAGACATTACTACGATCTGTTGATACCTGAAGAGAAGACTTCATTTTCTTTGCTGTCATGGCTCCACAACTCCTTTTTTTTTATATCATGAAGAGACTTATTTTTTGATCCATCCATTATTTTCTCATCCAATTGTCCAACACCATGATAAAGCTACTTCTTCCCTTTACAGAGCTAGTTATATACGCTTTATCACATGTGCAAACCACATGATGAATTTTAGACCACCAGTCCCTTTTTTCCCTCCAATCAATCAAGATCCTCTTTATATCAAATAGAATTTGAGAAACAAAGTTCTCCTAGGCAAAGGACCTAAATGTTTCCTTCTGTGAAATGAAGAACTGATTGTGAAAACACACTCGTACTTTAAGTGTGTAGTCCCACTAAATAAATAGGACAATTCACATTCTTAAATTCAGTTAAGGCTTTTTATTTGGGGATTAATTAGACCTGAAGAATAGGGGTGCCAGTTATATATAGCCAAATGATCATGGCTGAGTTGGAATATCATATATCAAGGTGGGGAATAAATATATATTTTTTACTTTTTATTTTCCAAAATCTTTCATAATTAAACTTTCAATTCTTCCTGTCTGCCACTGAATACTAGACTTTTTATTCTAAGCCTTTAGCAACTTAATATACCTTTTTAATAAAACATCCATGTTATAATCAGGAATCCTAACTGAAAAGGCATTGTGACAAGGGAATTTTGTATTTTACTTTAGAGAAGATAAGAAACAAATAATACTGCCACAAAACAACACCCATTTTGTCTCTGCACAGCATTCAGGTATATTAGGGGCTGTTCTCCTGATCCTTCTGTAGTGTTGTAACAGCACATTTCAAGAGCAGTCACATGAAAAATCCTCCTTCACTCTTTGTAAACAATTTGAGGAAGAATTTCAAAATAAGAGTATCTTTAGTTCCACTGAGACTTCTACAAGCTAATACACAAAACCAAGGAAAGTATATTCTAAAAATAAGACTTGAACTCATGTAAAATAAGGAAAGGGAAAAATCATAAGGCTTATATAGGAAAATACAACCCTTTCAATTAACAAAGGCCAATTTTTAGTACCATACTTGTCTAAAACTGTATCTATCAGATGTCTAAATAACAGCCTCTCATATCCAGAGGAATGCTCACTCCTGAACATTTCTGGTAGTCTCCAAGATGACTTTAACTAAAGACTTTTTCCCTTCTTGAGCTGAAAAAGAAGGCCCGTGCATTTTCATAATCACTCCTTTCATTACATAGCCATTCAGAGCAAGAAACAGCCTTTCAACTTAGCTTCACATTCAACACTATAAGTCACAGAAACCAAGCACTGAACTTAATTGAAAAGTTAACAAATCAAAGTATCTGTTGTGATGGAACTTATAGAAGAGTGATGGAAAATGTTATGATAGGATTCAGCAATGAAACTCCTTAAGTACAGGTTTCCCTCGCTTTATGCTGTACATGCATTCCTGGAAAACAGCACATAAGTTGAATTCACATAAAGGGAACCCACTTTACAATGTAACAAATAGGAATGCGTTCCAAGACCTCCACTGTACCAAACCCAGACCCATTTCTACCCCTTTTACAAGACAATTTTGGTACTCACCAACAGCAGACAGTACACACAAGCACAGAGCACTATCATAATGGGATGGCAACTACAGAAACACGTTGCAGATTACAAGTGAGGAGCACAGATCCACACAGGGGACTATATTTGGGTGCGCATCACTCCCACAATATAGTGCACAAAGCAGCTGACTGTGGGCTCCCACCACATTGATCACATAAGAGTGAATTTACCTCGCATATAACAAATTTTTTATATAAAAAGGGTCATTGCAATTCACACATACAGAACCCACATAAAGTGAGGGAAACCTGTATTTGGTGATTCCCTGCAATGCAGGAGTTGAGGAAGCTTAGGCAGGTAAGGAGAGAATCATAACTAAAGAACATTAACAGATTCTGGGAAAACTGTTTAGAAATTTGGACAGCATTTTTCATTCAATACCAACAATAAAGATTAGTAATAAGTAATATTAAGTTAGTTCTTCTTTCCTTACACAATGGAAACCAATGCTAGACTGATTTTTTTTCACTTTGTGTAACTTCTTGAATGCAATTCTTAGTGACTTATGCAATTACTGTAATTACACCTAATTACCTAATTGTATAATTGTTTTTAATTATACTCATAGTGTACATACTTAAAATTACAAAATTAGAGCATTTAATTACATAAATCCATTATGAAGCTTCATGAAAATAATGTTTTGCACATGTTCAGTTAGCAATATTGTAAGCCCAACATTTTGGCCTTTGCAGTTTTTTCTGATTATAATATTAAAACAATTAATCTACATTATGGCTGAACTGCCTGCTAAATGTGATGAGGTAAAAGCAAAAGTTTAGATGCAGGTGTGCTAAAGCCAGAATTTTACCCAATACCTTTTATATCAGTTTTCTAGTCACGTGTAGTGGAGGTGAGACAGGGCACTTCTGACTAGTTTTTACTTCATGAAAGCCAAACTTCATTGTAAACAGACATATGTTTATCACAATCCCTGAAGACTAAACCTTGTTGTTAGGTTAGGCAGAAGAGAGAGATTTTGCTTCAGAGATGGTATGAGAACAATTTGACAGACTCTTAGGTATCCAGCTCTTAAATGACAAAGAAAAATATTAGATGCTCTGCATACCTAGATGGCATTCAGAGACTAAAGTGATAGGTGTACTAGAAATGTTAAAGATCAAGATCAATATGATGCTTTATTTCTGTTGTTCTTATATCATTTCCTGACCCTCCAACTGTTCTATGTATTTAAATCCCAGTGAACACAATGGGAGATTTGGCTGCAAGACTGAAAGGTCTGAACTTGAATATTTAATTCTGAAGGTTGAAAACTGTATTGAATTTAACTGTAACAACCAGGATGCTCGCACAGCTAATCTCGAGTGGTTTTGCACTGAATCATGTATGGCTTACTAAATTGACTTTAAATGTCTTTTGTCTTTTGTCTCTCTATACAATAATAAATTGTTGCCTGGTAGGATTAAAGCATGAATAAATTAAAATTGCTTGATAAGAAATTACAGTGGTTTAGTCAGATATCCAGCTCATGTTACAGTTCCATGTAAAGTGCATTAATTTGTCATTGTACCTAAATTTGCCTTCTATAGCTATGATATATTTGTCATTTTGATAGAAAATGTCAGGCTTTCTAATGTTGGAGTAGATCCTAACATTTTCCTCTTAACTATTTTCTTTTTCTTAGCTAACCAACTGACTTCACGATGACTGAGGGCTTAGATTCCAGATTGAGTAACCTCACTTGGGATCAGATTAGAATATTGGATCAAGTACTAACTGAAGTAATACCTATTCATGGAAGAGGAAATTTTCCAACACTAGAAATAAAACCAAAGGATATTATTCATGTTGTAAAGGAACAACTGATTGAGAAGGAAATCAGTGTTAGAGACATCCGCCTGAATGGTTCAACAGCTAGCCACATCCTTGTAAAACAAAAAGGAACTAGCTACAAGGATTTAGATATCATTTTTGGTGTTGAACTTCCAAGTGAACATGAATTTCAGGTTGTTAAGGAGGCTGTTCTGAATTGCCTACTGGACTTTTTACCAAAATGTGTCAACAAAGAAAAAATCACTGCTCAGACTATGAAGGATGCATATGTGCAGAAGATGGTCAAAGTCTCCACTGATCATGATCGCTGGAGCCTTATCTCATTGTCAAACAACAGTGGCAAAAATGTAGAACTAAAATTTGTAAACTCACTCAGACGACAGTTTGAATTTAGCGTGGACTCTTTTCAAATTATCCTGGATTCCATATTAAATGTTTACAGTGACACAGACTGTGAATTGACAGAAGACTCGCATCCTACCGTTATTGCAGAGAGCATGTATGGTGACTTCAGAGAGGCAATGGACCATTTAAAATACAAACTTATTTCCACAAGGAACCCTGAGGAAATCAGAGGTGGAGGCCTTCTGAAATACAGCAATCTCCTGGTTCGTGATTTTAAGCCAGCAGATGAGGCTGAAATCAAATCTTTGGAACGTTACATGTGTTCCAGATTCTTCATTGATTTTCCTGATGTGACTGAGCAGCAAAGGAAAATTGAGTCATACCTGCGCAACCACTTCATTGGGGAAGAAAAGAGTAAATATGACTACCTGATGACTCTGCGTGGAGTTGTAAATGAGAGTACAGTCTGTCTCATGGGACATGAACGAAGACAAACTCTGAACATGATTACAATTCTGGCTTTAAAAGTACTAGGAGAACAAAATATCATCCCAAATGCAGCCAATGTTACATGCTACTATCAGCCTGCTCCATATATCAGTGATAGAAACTTCAGTAATTACTACATTGCTCATGGACAGCCACCTATCATCTACCAGCCATACCCATTTCACATACAAATGCAAAGTGGCATGGTTTAGAAAAACATTAACCTCTCACTGCACACCCACCCCCTTCCAATACTTTCCACAATAAAGGCCTCGTTAAAGCAAGTTTTACTATCACTTTTGATTTTAGGACTTTCTTGCAGATTGCCATCGGTCTTGATCAGTCAGTACTTAAAATCATTGTTACACACGGCATCAGATAAGTTATGTACATGTATAATTGCTAGCCACTATTCTACAAATTCATGATGCTCTTCACATTTTCCTAAAACAGAAATACTCTGTGACTGAGTTTTACATTCCTTTGAGCCAAAAAGTGAAAGATATAAACAATTCTAATTTTACAAAGTACTATAGACAGTGGTTCTAAAGAATTCTTCCCTATAATTTAACCAGTGTAATTGGAAAAATATGCTAAAAGGTTGTTCAGTAGAAAGACCTGATTTTGAAGTCAACAGATTTAAAAAAAACATTGGCATTAAAGATATAGTAAACAAACTGGACCAAATTTGTCAGCTGTACCCAACTCAAATACAGTTGGAGTTGCGGTGCATTTTGGAATTTGCACTGGTCGACTGACATTGTTAAATATCCCAATAGGTTAAATTCTGCTTTCTGGGTGCAAGCCAGCAAGATGCCAAACAACTCTCAACTCCCATTAAAGACATTAGTACTTGAGGATAGTTTCCTCACCTGTGTGCTGCTCAACACCTAACAAGATTAATTAACACCATAGCCCAATTCTACAATCTGGGTCCACCCAAAATTCCCCCTGGTTTCATTGAGAGATACGGGTAGCCAAGGAATGCAAGGCTGGCCTCTTGGTTTGAATTCCACACAATAGAAGTTTTTAAGCAGGTGATTTAGTCATTCTGCTCAAATAGTCATGAAAAGCAAGCCAAAATCATGAGGGAGAAGGTGCCTATTCTGCACATGGATGTTTTTTTTTCCGTAGATATTTAATAGTGACCAGAAATAAAATAAGCTAAATGAATACCAAATGGTAATCAGGAAAAAAAAGGGACTGTGTGATTTTTAAGTGATTTTAAAACCATGTTCTTAGCAGGGGCATTTGATATACTATTTTATACTAGAATTGTCCTGTATATGCTTAGACGTCTGTGCACATACAATAGTAGCAAATCAAAATCTCTCTCATGATCAGGAAATACAAAAAAACAAAACATTAGTTTTTTTTTAGTGTGTTTACCAAAGATAAGTTTCAAACATGTCACTTAAGTGCCTCCCTGTGCCAGTTGTTCCATGAAAAGTGTAATGTATTTTAGAATATGTCATGCTAGATAGCTCCTGAAATAGAAATGAGGGTACGTGAAACATTGTGGTTGGAACTCCATCTCTGGCTTACAGAATATCCTCTTCTGTTAAAAACTGGTCCAATCCTGCAGCACTGAAGTCAATGGAAATTGTACCATTCACTTCAATGTGTTAGCACCACAATCCTACTCCCATTGAAACAAGCCAAATTCAGCAATTGACTCCAATGCAAGGAGCAGATATTGGAAAAGCTCACTAATGAAAAACATAATTAGAGTAGATTTTGTTTCAAAATATAAGCTGTAAGCCAGTTGAAAAATTCAGCAAGAGGTATTGCTAGTTCTGATGCTTCGTATGTTACTTGCTTATCCTTAGACCTAATGATAAAATGATGCATCATTTTACATCATGTTATTCAGACCAAAGTATTGACTACATTTTATTTGAATAAAAACATCTCTCCAGTTTTAGAAATATGTGCAGTTTGAAAAAAAAGGTTTGAGTTAATGTATGTATTGGTACATTAAATCATACATTTCCAAATTTATATTTCTAAGATCTATGGTCTGTAATTATCCGCTTGCCAATGAAAAGTAACTTTACTGAGGCCCACTTATGATCTCGCCAGTAGATTAAAAAACTGTTTATAAGACTGTTTTGTTGATTTTTCCCTCTTGAGTGAATTCCTTTCAGTATAATGTAGTGCAATATAAAACCACTCCATACTATGGAATGATGTACATGAAATGATTGTAAGAGGAATAAGGGTGCAATAATCCAGTTGGAGGCAAATGAACAGTGCAATGTCTTTCATGAATACATTATCTGGTTTTTTATTGATTTATCAAATATGTCCAATTGCATGTCTCAGGGCACATTTAGTTCAATTTTACCAGTATGATTATGATCTTACCACTTGTGTCAATTGTACTTAATAAAATAGGCAACTTTAATTTCTATGTTACTGTACTGCTGTATGGAACTGAAGCACTTCCAAAAAAATTCCACTAGTAAAACAGTGGTCCACATACACAGTGCAGTACATTTCTAACAATAGAACCTGTGATTTTCATCTGCTTTCCACCAAAAAGAATAGTGCTGTATACTGCTCCATAATGCCATTTATACCATGCCTCTTCTGGTACTTATGATTGTACTTAATTTTCAGCGCATCTGCAATCTCATTGACTTCCATGAGACTATTTATTAAAGTTATGCACAACTAATTTTCAAAGGAGCCTAAGCTGGACAGTTGAGCAAATCTCATGGAAGGTCAGTGGGAGCAGGGTTCTTCTGAAAAATCCCAATCCCACTATTATAAATGATTACAGGTTTGGGGGTACTGATATGGTGATTTTGTACTAACCGAAACCAAAAAAAAATGTAAAGCTTCCTTAGCGGTGATGGGAATTTTGTGGAGAAATTTGATGACCTAAAGAATCAAAGCATAGATCCATAAAGATGGAGGGTTTTCTTACATCCCCTACACATCCAACACATCAGTAACTGGAGAAACATTTAAGAATGTTATCAGTTTGTACTAACAAGTAGTAGTATCATAATGCAACATTTCTGTGTAGTAGGACTATAAGGCTTATTTGGCTAGTGAAGAAATCCTTGTTAAAAAGTACAGCTAATGGTGAAATAGCTGCAGATATGTATAAACTAACTAGTGCTATCATACAGCAACTGCTCAGATTTTCTTTTCTTTTCTGGATTTTTTTAAGTACTTGACACATCTCTGTTTAAATCCAGGTTAGACAATGAGGGACTGATCCAGAAGTCACTGAAGTTACTGGAATGAATCTAGTTGGCTTAAGTGGGCTTTGGATTTGATTGTAAGGGAACATAAAGGACATATTTATAGTACCTACAGGTAAATGTATAAAAGACATCAATATGCAAAAATGTCTCAGGTATAAATAAACCCTTTTAATTTATTAAAAAGTTCTTGTATTTCTTAGGTAGAGGTAGTCATTCAATTATGAAGGCTATTGGGGGGTAATGATTTGATACACACACACATACACACACATTATATATACATACACAAACAATTAAAAATATAACTTTTTAAATGTTTCATTGAACAGATCATATAAATAATTAGCAGCAGTATCAAACCTGGAGATTTTTAAAGACAGTACTGATTCTGTAAATTAATATTAGAGACAGGGATGTGATATATACATATATGTATACTGCTGCTTGAAAAACATTGACATCAACATGTAAGATATGATACTGTAACCTCTTCTCCAGTCCTTATCTATTTTACTATGTGCAAATATAAATCTCTACAAAGAATTAATTCTGAGACATTTTTCGGTACCAGTATCTTGAGCTTCATGTTTACATTATTAACTTGTTGTTACAATCTGTTTAATAATTATAACAACTGGGAAATGTAATGCCGATTTTATTTAATCATATTCAAAAGTTCTCAAAGTTTACAGTTTAAAGTAATCTAATGTTGTCAGGATGTAAATGTAAAAGTTTCAAGTGCTTTCTTAAAAATGTCATTTGAATTTTGTGTTATATTGTAAAAGGTCCATTTGAAGCATATTCTTTCTGGTATTTTGTTTCAATTGTAATTTGTGAGCTTTATACTCAATACATTACGAGGTTTTTGCAATGGATAACCAAGGTGTGAAACTGTCCTCTGTCATGATGTTATACTGTCTATTGTGTTACACTGATCCTACAAATGTATAAAAAGTAAAACTGATAGATCTGATTTACCATAGAGTTACTCCAGTTTTATACCTTTGTAGCTCTACTGATGTCAGTGGAGTTATACCAACATGAAACTGGCATAGCAAAGTGGTGAATTGGAAATTATGTTTGTATTTAGAAATATTTTTGGAAAGAACAGCAAAAGAAGTTTAGGCAGTTCAGTATTGCAAGAAATCCTACCTATCCTCTCCCGTTTGGTGTGTTTTTCTATTAAAAAATGATGAATATTCAGGAATACATCTGTTATGATAAGGAAGTATTTTACTTAATGTGCCATCTGAAGTTGTTGAAATAATATTGTAATGCTAATACTTTGTATTAACCAGACAAATTTGTAGGTCATTAGTCCGCAGTGTTGACTAGTGCCTTTGGGTACTTGGGGAAAAATCATTAAAATAACCTTCTTGTTATTCCAGATGCCTGGTTTACTTCAAATATATTTGTTATTTGTTAAAATGCTGTTTTTAACATGATGACCACATACTGTGGATGCATGACTTCCAGATTGGCATGTTATAGTAGCAGGAACAATTAAAGAGGATAGTATGGTTAGTTAAATCAGTAAACCATAAATTGAATTTTGCCATTGATCCACAGTCAAAATTAATAGTTATTTAAAGGAATTCCACATGCAAAATGAGTTGGTCTTAAAGTATGATAATTATGCTAAATTATAACAACCCTTATACTACTCATGCAAAACATCTTAGGTCAACAATTCATATTTTAAGTATCTAAATAAATATTTATCTTATACAGATTTCATAGACATTAGGGCTGGAAGGGATCTTGGAAGATCATCGAGTCCAGCCCCCTGCCCCAGGGGCAGGAAGTCAGGAGGGGTCATAGGATCCCAGCAAGATAAACGTCCACATTTCTCTTGAAGGTGTTCAAAGTAGGTGCTTGAACCACCTCCGGCTGCAGTCTATTCCAGATGTGATTGTCTATTGGGTAAATGATACATGTGTCAAAATACATACTTAAATGGATAATGTATTTGACTTCAGATATGTTTGGATTGATACCATACCTACTGTGAATACCTATTCACATATGCCTAACTACACATTTATCCAAGACACTTGAATTTGTGCTGACAG